TGCAACAGTGTTTGTTCTTTCTTCATTCAAAATATGTGTAATTAAGCTACCCAACTCTGAGAACATACACCACCGAGAATTATCTCTCTGGACTACAGATCTACACCACCCTTTTAAAAGTAACGATCTAGTCCAAGGTCTTAGTGTTGAAGCTGCACAGTAATATGCAAAATAGTGTTTAAAAGTCGAACAGTCTCTCTCCATAGTCCTGCGATAAATTTTCGTTATCAATAAACTTTTACTTAAACTTACGACAGTTTCAGTTTCTTTACTCAGTCTTAAAGCCAATAAGACTGAGAAAAAAAAAACCTGAAAAGAATGGGGATAAAACTGAAAATCCCAAGTGTTTGAATAAACGAAGTAGGGAATTATCCTAATCATCCCAAACATATGTATCAATTCTTTGTTGTCCCAATTTTACCACATCACAGTGTTATGAAAGCAGATAACTCTCCACTGTGGTTATATATATATGCATCAATGTAACGAAATTCTACACTAAGTATGCGAGAAGGCTTACATTGTTGTAGCAATATAAATATTCAACTGCGTAAATTAACAAAACGGATGCTTAGAATGTCTAGTTTATATTGTGAACAATCAAAAAAATGAAATGTTCTGCTGTCTGAAAACTTTAAAATTTCTGCTACTAACCAGAGCCTGACATCCTGTAGCTAAGTTGGTTCCCGTCTATCGAACAATATGCTCCTTCGTGCAGTTAGAAATTGACAGTGATACCCTTCTCATGCTAACTCCAACTTTGTGTATACAAATTTAAGTATATCTACTGTAACAGTTACATTGGGAGAACTGAAAGAACATGTACCTGATAGCCTACTTCTCAGGGGGATAAATGCTACAATAGTGTCATAACCAGGTATCTCCTTGATAGGGGTCATGAGGTGGAAATCGCCAAATCCTTCAAAATTATCAATGAACAAAGGAGTTCAATTCTTCTCAAGTTTTCCAAAGCAATCTCTATCAGACGACTGAAACCCAATTTATGTGTTTAGAAAGAAGCAGTTACCAGTCTTTTCTTGTCCCACCTGGCGACTGGGTGTCTTTATTCTCTCTTCCACTTGATTACGTAATCTTTGACTTTGGCCTCAGCGCTCCCTTTGATATAGTGTAATTTTGATTGTCCCTTGGTTCTATGATATGAGTTGAACTCAGTACATTGTCACCTGATTTAGTATATACTCATCATCTTGCTCATCTCCCATCTTTATTACTTAACTACTTTACCATTGTATGCACACATTTATTTTGTTTAAACTTGAACTCCCTGTGTAAAAACCATGTAAGCGTGATATGATGGAGAGGATTTCTAACTCAGGTGGATGATTTTGATGTAGTTGTGCTATCTGAGCTAGCTGGATGATTTGTTTTTGAGAAGTTTTCATTGCCCTACTTGCCAGTCAACATCTCGATGAAGTCAGCTTATAGATTTCTCCACGAGTTTATTAGTCATCTCTCTCAGAGGGTGATCTTGAACGTGATTGGTTAGTTTTGTGTGTTTTCACACCCTCTGGGCTACTTGTATTGGTATTGGTGTTGATCGTTTCTTTGACTTGAAGTTTGACCCTTTGTGTGTGAGATTTCCTTCTTATCGGTTGGTTAATTTTGTCGATGTCGATGTGTCTATTGACTGACGATTCACTGGAATACCAGACTTCGAAAAATTCTCTGGCTAGCATTCTTGGTGTTTCCTCTGTCTAATATTTGAACGTTGGTTGTCCCAGTTGAATTGATGTCCGTGGTTGTCTGTATGCAGTGAGTCGATATGACGGAGTGGATGTCATGTCTTTTGACGACCGGCCAGTTTATGTTCATGGATACGAAGACGAAGCGGACCTTATCCACTTTGACCAATGTAGTGTTTTTCGCAGTTGTTACAATTTATTTTGTAGATGATGTTGGTTTTATCTTCTTTCGTTGTTGAGTCTTTTGGTTGACACAGAGCTGAAGGCGTGAAAACACATGAAAACAACCAGTCATGCTCAAGGTCACCCATCAGGAGAGATGACTAATAAACTCGTGTAGAAGTCTAAAACCTCACTTCAACAAGCTGAAATGTATGCGCTGAAGATATTGACTAGTAAGTAGGGCAATGAAAGCTTCGCAAATAAACCATCCAGCTAGATCAGAGAACACAACCACATCAAAATAAGCCTCATTTTTTGAGCACTATTCACTAAGTCCACAATCTCCTGTCAACTGACATTATGTACAATTAGCAAGTATGTTAAAACTTTTCTGTACATAAACTTAATAATTTATTTAGGCTTTAAGCAGCTGATGAGAAGCCGACGAAATAGACAATGATGGTACTATATTATTCTGCGAAGACTATTTTTCTCGCTTTATTCAAATGAAAGTAGTATATTTAAATTTTTTTCAAGTTTGTAGAGTTTTTGAATCAACTCACGTAGTGACATCAGTTAAAGAACCCCCAACGATTAGAAGTCAGTTGATAGCTGTTTTGCCTAAGTTTAGGACAATTCATCAGTGTGCAGTCACTATTTCATGAGGGGTCGAACCTAAGACCTTGATTTTTCAGCTACTACGATGGAATTCACTGATTAGAGAATTCTAATTTCTTTCCATTAGTGACACAGCCCTGACACCAGCTGACACCACTGGTGAGCGTACTGTTCCCATCCTACTTGGAGATCGCCACCAGTCATGACATCTCACTAGGACTTCACAATTTCCGTCTTGTAGTCATTAATGAGCAGGAGACTAATATTCAGATGTTTTGGGTCTTCATAACGAGCGATTAATTTCACGCCATATTTAAGGAAACGTGTACAGCTGTTCTAGGAAGAAGGAAGAGACAAGGATGGTGAAAGAGAAGATGACTCAATACAAAGATGGGTAACAGAGGGAGAAGCTGACTTCAATTTACACTGCACTGAAAAAAGTGAGAAGTGAAGAAGAGTGCTAGAAAAGACAAACGACAATTCCATAACACACTGGCAACTGAAGCAGAACAGGCCGCTTCAAAAAGAGACATCAGGACACTATATCAAATAACCAAGTCTCTATCCAGGAAGAGATCAACACAGATGATGGAACCAATGAAAGACGCTCAAGAGGACCTGATAACCAAGGAGGAGAAACAGATAAAACAATGGAATGATCACTTGAAAGTACTGCTGAATCGACCATCACCTGCAACTCGCCCAGAAATACCACCAACGGCACACACGGATATGCCAGTGGACACCGCTCCTCCAACGAAAGCAGAAATTCTGAATACCATCAAGCTACTGAAGTCTGGAAGGCAGCAGGACCAGACAGCATTCCTCCCGAAAGCACTGAAAACGTACCCATGGACTGCCGCAGATGTTCTTACTCCATTGTTAAAAAACGTGGGATAGGAAGGGAAGGTGCCTACTGACTGGAAGTAAGACCACCTCGTCAAGACTGCAAAGAAGGGCGACTTAAACCCCACTCTGCAAGAACTGGCGTGGAATAATGCTCTTGTCCACGCCAAGTAAAATACTAAGTTGCATTATCCTGGAGAGAATAAAGGATGCACTGGATACGGAATTCCACCACCCATTGAAACAAGCTGGATTCAGGAGAGGAACATCGCGTGCTAATCAAATTGCAACTCTACGCATAGTCATCAAAGAACAAAGCATAGAATGGAAGTCAAATATCTACCTCAACTTCATCTACTTCAGAAAGGCCTTCGACAGACAGAGTTGAGCTACAACACTACGGTGTGTGGTGTCCAAGTCTTTGTCAACCTGATTCAACAGTTGTATAACAACGCCACGTGTCAACTGATCCACAACGGAAATTTCAGAGAGGCGTTTGAAGTGCATACAGGAATAAGACAAGGCTGCCTACTATCACCGATGATATTCTGAATTGTGGTGGACTGGATTATGCGTCAGACTGTTGGGGGTGAAGGGTCAGGAATACGCTAGACGACTGATATGAAAACGCTAGAAGATCTGGATTTCGCAGATGATATATGTCTAATGTCAAAAAAACTCGAAGACTTACGGGCGTAAACCAACAAACTGACTGAAGTGGCAGGCAGCGAAAACAGGACTCCAGATGAACACAAAGAAGACGGAGGTAATGACGATAACCAACCAACAAATAGCAACAACAACCAGCACCAATCACCATTAACAGTAGAGATTTGATGGAGGTTGCCTCCTTCACTTATCTGGGAGGCATCGTTTCAACTAAAGGCCGGAGGAACGGATGAAAATATCAAATTCACAATCGGAAAGGCAAGATACGCCTTCATCAACCTGAAACCAATTTGAAAGTCTTCTACATTCAGTGGCATAAACAACAAGATTCGGATTTTCAACACCACTGTGAAGTCAGTTAGTCAGTTCTTCTATACGGATCATAAACTTGCACTGAGTGTCACGAAAAGGATTTGCAACAGGTTGCAGACTTTCATCTACAGCTGCCCACTTCTCTAACTCCATACTGAAAATCAAATGGCCAGAAAGAGTAAGCAACAAGAAACTCTGACTGGCAACAAACCAACAGGTGAGAGCTGATTGCTCAACAAATATGCAGGAGAAAATGGAGATGGATTGATTGGGTATATGCCATTGAGGAGGCCAGCGATTGACATCGCACACCAGGCCCTCGTTGGGAAGTGACGAGCAGGTCGTCACTGTGAGGTTGACATGGAGGAGATCGTATCAGGAAGAGATGAGAGAGTTCGGTCAATCTTGGGTCCAGCTGAAGAGGGCGGCAGAAGACAGAACAAAGTGGAGATGTGTTGTTTCAGCCATATGTTCCACTTGGAACGCAAGGGAGTAATCAAAAAAATTTTTAATTCACACCTATGCTCCACAACTTTCTACGATTATCTGACCGATGTTGGTTCACGACAGGGTCTGCAAAAAGTTAAAGATTCATTGTGGAATATGAGGAAGTATTTCGACAGTATTAATGAGATTACATATATAAGGGAAAGGGATTCAAAAAGAAAGCATACTTAGAAGTAAACTCACTTATGTACAAGTACTAAAGAACGCTGTTCATAATTCATTGGCTGAAAAGTTTCCAATAATATTTCACCTTGTTTTATACACGATCGATAATGTTGTTTTAAGAGATTATGAATATGTAAACTGGGACAAATTGATACAGGACCCCATATTTTATAACCAATACTTAATTGATTTTCATCAGGCAATGGCAACTGACATACTAATTGAGGACCAAGTTGAACTTTCAATCGTATTGAATGTCTGATAGGCGGATTGATAAGTAATGCGAGTGTAACGTATACGCTTGAAGAGTGTTTACTTGGAATAGCTAAAATAAAGACAATATATCAGTAAGATAGATGGTGGAGGTGAGGAATAATAGTTATACGATTGTTATACGATACTTCATAAAGTAATCGCTTCCAGGAACACCAACATATAATCTATGTGAAGAACTTTTCAAGAAATTAAATTACCTAACAGAGTCATGCGACCATTCTATCAATTCGTCAATCCAATTTTTAGAGAAAATCAAGAACATACAAGTAGAAGGGAATGAATAATGGTGTCCTTTGATGTCACAGCATTATATACTTCACTTAGTCCAAAACTAGCAACAGAAACTATGCAACAATTACTCTATATTGATGAAAACATAAACACGCAATTACCAACTTGGATAGAACTCATAAAATTATGCCTTACAACATACTTCCAGTTCAATACTCAAATATATGAACAAATAAAAGGAACACCAATGGGATCGCCCATATCAGGATTAATAGCCGAAGCCGTCATGCAAAGATTAGAATTAATAGCTCTACCTATAATTAAACCGAAAATCTGGGTACGTTACGTTGATGATACATTTGTAATAATTAAAAGAAATGATTTAGAATATACCCATAAATTAATAAACAACATATTTGAAGACATTAAATTCACCACGAGAGAAGAAGAATTAGATAACAAAATCCCATTTTTAGATGTCTTAATCAGGAGAACCAACACATGGAATTTAGAAACACAAATATATAGAAAATCAACGCACACAGACCAAATACTCAACTATACTAGCAATAATCCAATTACTCACAAGAGAAACTGTGTGCAGACATTGTTTAAAAGAGTTCAAACACATTGTAGCACTCCAGCGTTAAAAAGAATGGAAGAAAAGTACCTACAAACGGTCTTCAAAAAGAATGGTTATCCACAAAATTTCATCAAAAAGTGTCTAAAGTCGAATCATAACACCAACAAAAAACCACCACCGAAGACCACAAGAAAATTCATCCTACCATATGTAAAAAATATCTCTGAAATAACAGCTAGAATATTGAAACCGTTTGAAATAGATATAGCACGCAAGCCAGCCAAATCACTTAATTCGATATTATGCAAACCAAAAGATCCAACAGAAAAAGGAGATAAAGTTAATATGAACTGTAATAAACATTACATTGACCAAAGTGAGCGTCCCCTTCAAATCAGAATCCAAGAACACAAATCAGCCGTGAAAAGACACGATATATATTCTTTCACATGTAGACAATTATGGACATCAATTTGATTGGGATAATGTCGAAATCTTAGACAGAGGAAACACCAAAAGTGCTAGGGAATTCCTAGAAGCCTGGTACTCAAACAAATATGCAATTAACAAACACATTAATATAGACCAAATATACCAACTAATAGAAAAATAAATCGTGTGACGAGAAAGTTTAAAATCCAATTCAATAGAAAATGGTCAATACATATGTAAAGATGGTTACCGGGAGACGCAATTCTATGACTCACGAAAAATTTAAATCATTTCACTTTATGCTAAATATTTCGCTGAAGATGTTGTCCAGAGGCTGGACGACGAAAGCTCCGCAACTAAACCAACCAGCTCAGAGAACACTATTAATTACAAAAGTAATCCCGTATTTTTGCTTTAGGTTTCGAGTAAGACAACAGCACATCATCATTTCATCCTGCTCTCTGTGATCCCCTTTATCTGGCTTCACGATTTTCCATTAGCTTGTAGTGTACCTTGAACGTTTGAATGTTTTGTTTTAACGCATTCATGCACTTTTGCACCACGCCATCTTGTGATTTTCGATGCGAATGTACACAAGTGGTTCGCTCCCTTGTTGTCCTAGCATTCAGAGCACTTTTTGAGCTTACTACCCAGCCGAGGCACCAGATAAGTTGTACAACATTCTTATTTATTAAAAATTGATATTTCATCTATGTAAAATACAACTCTCATCAGGACACTCTACTCAGTCACCAGCATTTTTACTTTGAGTTCGTTTATCAGTGCTTGCACGCTAAGTAGAGTACTGCTAAGGGTATTAAGAGGAGAAGTCTTAAGTAAGTGCGGTTAGTTGAGGTCTCTCTTGAGTATAACCAACACTTACAATTTTAGCACCCTACGTGCAAAAATAAACAAAATAATCAATATGAAAAAAGGTGAAATATTGACACGTAAAGCTACAAATAAGACGATCGGTGAAACTCGAGCTCACCCTGTGGACCCAATTAAACAAAATAATATAATTTACAAAATGCCTTGCAATGACACTGAGTATAGGGTCAACTACATAGGTCAAACTAGTAAATCTCGGGTAGTCAGATTGTCAGAACATAAGAATTTAGCTAACGTTAGAATAATTGACCATACGAAGATAAGTAATTTAAAGAAAAACTCAGCAATTGCACTGCATGTATGCATTAACACAACCACACAATAGGGTGGGAGAGGGTTAAAGTTCTAAAAAGTAATATAGGTAAGTGGAGAAAGAGAGAGGTTGATTACTGAATCCTGCCTGGTTCATTGAGTCTACACCCAACACATGCGCAATAGAAGCGACTCAACGCAAACACCAGAGAAATGGAAGATATTATTACCACCAGTCAGTCAAATCAGAGGAGAATAATAATTAATCCTAAAATTCTATTTCAATTCACGTACATCACAACATTCTAACAAGTTACTTATTATGACTATAAAAACAATCGTCTTATAACCCATCTGATTGTATTTGATTTATAACACTCATATTATTATTTCTGAATGTAATTTCTCTTATCTCTAATGGAGTGCGCTGAATGGTAGCACAACAAGGGAGCGAACCAAGTGTGTACAGTCGCATCGGAAATCACAAGATGGCGTGGCGCCAAAGTGCGTGAATGCGTTAAAACAAAAGATTCAAGCTTTCAAGGTGCACTGCAAGTTCTCATCACATGATCTCCTCTGTTTGGGTTCCACTTCAGGGGCCTGGAGAGCGATATCATTCAACTGTCTTTCCAGCATGTGTCTGACCCATCTTCGTTTTCTTTAGTATATTTGTCGGGAGGTGGGTTTTTAATTGGTTCGCTCCTAAAGTTTCTTGTCATCCGATCTTCAAGCTACAGTGGAGGCTACTATTGATTAAGGTCTGTAGCGATCTGTTGGAAACGCTTTAGGTGACATGCCAATTTTCTGAACTATGACCTACTTTTTTATTCCTTTACGTTCCTAGTGGAACATAGGGGGCTTCAAGCTAGAGGCTTGAAGTTTCCTTAGCAGCAATGGCCTCATGCCCAACCTTCCCTCTTTATTAGTCTTACCACTGGCTTAGATAGGTAAAGGAGTGCTTCGGTGGCCAGGGATTGAACCCCAAACCACGTGTGGCGTGGTTGGCGAGCATTCTACCGCTTTTACAACGACGCCGCTATGACCTATGATTATTTATAAAATACTTTTCGAGCGATAGAAAGTTTGTCTCTCTGTGAAAGATAAAAGCCAGTATTCGGATTGGTTCATAGAATGAATAAACGTCTTTATCCGCCTGTAATATTATTGTAGATACGACCTAAGATACATAGTGATAGTGAGACTTCTGCATATATCAAGTTTCAGAAGAGCATCATGTTAATTATTAGCTGAGGCCAGCCTATCACTATGATATTTCGGAGATCATAAGCATCATCCCTGTCCCTTTCGGCCAGTCATCTGATCTTAAGCGGCCGAGGAGAGGAGCAGCCAAGTGCAGATTCATACAGAGGCACTAAGAAGTTGACATTCGTGTTATAAATAAATTCGGATTTTATTCATTGTACTAACGAATGAATGTCTTCCTTTCACTATTCCCGCTACACTTAACTCCGTGTTTATTAGCACTGAGCTTATCAGTGAAGCGTATGCCCAAACTTGAAGAGAAATGGTAATTTTGATAATATTTACTCAAGAAGAAAAAGTCATTAGTTTCAATTACTAGCTTTGTAGTAGAATGTTTACAGCCCATGATGTTAACCTAGGTCTGACTCCTGGCGAACGCATGTCTAAACCTTGCTTAGCTTACTCAGAGTCTGGCAGTCTGGTTGGTTGGTTGGTTTTCGACATAGAACTTTGCACATATGTGCGGCAGTTCAAGTCGCCACAATCTATGTAGCACGCAAAGCAAGAGAAGGAAGTAGAAGAAATGCATAATGGAAACAGTAAACAGAGGTGTGAGACAAAGGAATAGTAATAACGGAGAACAAAACAGTTTAATTGGAAACCATAAGTCACAAGGAGTGGATGCATCTGCGCCACTGAGAACGATTTTGAGACATGTCACCAATTGTTTCCAACCATTGGTTTTTACCGTCCCGAGGACCCCAACCAGGAAGTCTACATCTCCCTACGTGGCTTAGATTAACTGTTGTAGATTTCATTGATTGGTGCCATGTTTTGGTTTGACCGCCGCTAGCTCTTTTCCAGCCTGACCCTATATCAGCTAACATTGCCCGTCGAGGAAGGCGATGACTAGGCATACGTAGCACATGTCCTAACCATCTCAGTCGAAGGAATTTCACCGTTTCGTCGATTGATTTCCCCGCCTTACCTAGCACTCGACGCCTAACCTCAATATTGCTCACCTTATTATACCACTTCGCGCTGGAGATAGAACGCAGACACCTATGATCGAAGACAGCTAATCTTTTCATGTCTTCCGCTCTCAATGGCCAGGTCTCACAGCCATGAAGGAGGACGGAGCGGACTGTTGAGCAGTACACACGCCCTTTGGTCGATAGTCGGATATCGCGTCTACGCCAGAGACGGCGAAAACTGGCGAATGCGAACCTAGCCCTCTGTATTCGTGCTGAGATTTAGTCTGAGATCAACCCGTTGGGGCTGATAGTATTTCCCAAGTAATTGAAGCGGTCAACGTGCTCTACCACTTCACTTCCTATTTCTAATCTAGGGGTCGATGAGGTCCAATCCTGCAGCATCATCTTACATTTTACAGGGGCGAATCGCGTGCCAAACATACGGAGATTGTTGCTCAGGGTGTTCAGTAGACTGCATTTTGTCAGAGTCCTCGCCTAGAAGGACTATATCGTCCGCATATTCTAAGTCGACGAGATTATTCCCTGGTAGCAAGTCAATCCCTGAGTCGCTGAAGTGTGATAGGGTTAAGTCCATTAGTACGTCTATGATGAAGTTGAATAGGAATGGGGATAATGGGCATCCTTGACGGACGCCACTAGTCGTCACCACTTCAGATGACAACTCGCCATAAGCCCTCACCTGGCTGCATGAGTATGAGTAGAGTGCCTTAATCAGTGCAATGTATTTTCTCGGCATTCCCTTTACAGTGGTTTTACAATGGTTTTTTACTCACCTTTGGATTTACCTTATTCACAGCTTTTACAGCTGTATCTATGGCTGACTGAATATTTTTCCAGACTTCTTCAGGGTGAGCGCAGCTGTCAAACTCAGATATGTGTTTAGCTAGTTCTTCCTCAAATAGGGACTTAGTTCCCTGGTCGAGCTGGGGACGTGATGGGTTTACCGCCAGCTGTTTCCTACGTCCGTTCAGTCGTAAGCACATACGAGCGCGGACCAGTGCATGATCGGTATCTACACACGTGTTCCAGAAGGAGCGACAATCTCCTACCGACCCACGCCAACGATAGCTTATTGCTATGTGGTCTGGCAGTCTGGGTGAACAAGAATGGTTGGGTGTGAGGCTAGCAACCCCACAGTGTAAAAATCAGCACCACTGCTGCTACTAGAAGGGGAAAGCTGGAATCTTGAAGCACAGTGTTCCACCCGGAATGCAACGAATAGAAACAAACCAATTGAATACAGTGATGAAGTCCCGTTTCACCTACATTTCGTATTCATCAGCTTTCTTCAGCAATATAAGCTGACAAATATGGCACACTGTAGAATTAAATCATTTAATTAATTGGCCAGTCTCAGGAATACGAATAACTGGTGTACAAATTTCCAAAAGTTAATGAAATCGCTCTGATATTAAAGAAGCATGAGTCATCCTGTCAGATAAACGACCAAACGTCATCCATGGTTATGCTACTACATAAGGCAGGCTTAAGAACGTCATTGCTCACCGAAGTACCCATGATGTGTCGAATTTGAAACCTTCAAGTTATTGGACCGATCTCGTTGACTAATTAGCTGCTTGGGCGTCGGTAGTTCAGCAACAGAATCCTCGCCAACCACCCTATGTCATTTGACGTTGAAATAGCAGTCAACAGATGCCTAAACCTCTCCTGGTTGGTAATAGTTAGCCTGATAAAGACGGAAGACTGCGGGTGAGGCTAGTAGCTCCTCTCCTCACATTTAAAAAGAGAATATTTGGTAAGACGCATCCGCAGGTCACTGAGTTTCAACCCAGTAGTTTGACAATCAGTCGACCAGCTTCAAAAATGTGAAGTCTTGGGTTCAATAGGACTATTGGTTCACGACGCTGAAGAGTACCATACTACGACAAAACAGGTGTCCAGTCCTCCCTAATATTTCCAACTATTCTCTAACTGATGCTGTTTCGTGAATCAGCCTACACTGAATATGTTTCAATAGGCGAAAAAGTCAATTCATCATCAAACAATCTTCTGGTACTGATATTAAATTTAGGCCTATTGCAATTACTCCTCCTTTTTTTAAAATTGATGGAAAAATCACTTTTACTCCGTCTTGAACCTTCATTGAAGCCTCTTAATGATCCTAAACAATTTGCATATAAACATGGTAGAAGTACCATGGATGCTGCGGTTGTCTTATATCATAATGTTGTTTCTTGTTTAGACAAAAGTGCCAAATATGTTCGTGGTGCTTTCCTAGACTACACACCTGCTTTTGACTCTGTACCTAGGTGCCTTTTATTAAATAAGCTTTCGTTGACGCAAACAGGATCCTGGGCTAAGAGTTGGTTGCATTCTTATTTTTCTGATAGAATGCAGTATACTGTATATAATGGCAAATGTTCTTCTGCTTTGCTTACAAAAGCCGGTGTTCCTCAAGGTGCCGTCCTCTCTCCTTTTCTCTTTTCTTTCTTCCTACACGACCTGCCTCATTTAAACGAAACTAACTTTGTCAAATATGCTGATGATCTGACTGTATCACTGCCTATCACTTCCGAATCTGACTGCTCCAAACGTAATAGCTTTCTGTTGGACATCAGTAAGTGGTCTAAATCAAATGGTCTTATGTTAAATCCTTCCAAATGTCAGGCAGTTAACTTTACCTTCAAGCATCGACGTGACATACATGAACTAGTTAGTTCCCATGATGCCTGTAGCATAGATGGTCATGGTCATCCCACATCTTATCAATCTCTAAGAAAATGTCTCGCCTTACCTTCTACATTAAAAAGTTAAAACAATCAGGTATCAACCAACCTTTACTTCTGCAGTTTGTAAACTCTTGTATTTTACATATTGTACTCTATTGCTCTGCATTATTCTTTCCTGGGCTTCTCAAAAAAGACTACATCGTAATACGAATGGTATTAAATGCTGTGAGTAGGGCTTGTGGTTTGCCACTGCGTGAGCTCGCCAATACTATAGTCGACAGACACATAAATTCCTGTACAAAGTGGGCAAAGGCCGTACTGTCAGACCCCCTGCACTGCACCCTCTTTATTCACAACTATCCCCTTGCATCTCATCAGGTAGGACGAGAAGTCAATATAAGAAGTTATATGCTCGAACCACTAAGTACAAAAATTCTACAATACCCTATTTAGCCCGTATTTTATGTGATGAAGACTCTGTTAGACGTGAAACATATAAGTTACTATGTAATTAGCAAAGTGAATCCACCATTTCATTGTTCACCTTTCTGTAATTTTATGGTGTCACCCTTCTTATCGTTTAATTATAACTTTGCTGTTTTTATTTTAGTTGTTATTACTATTATTACTATAATTTTATACTTTATGCATATTTTTCTCCGTATTGCATACAGAAATTTGCTACATAGCTGCTATAATAAAGTTTTGTTATTCTTATTATGTAATTGTTTATTTTTTGTCGTTCTGAGTAAATTAGATGCAATATTGTACTGAATGCTGAAAATTCCTTGCTGTATCATTAGTACTGTTTTTGGAATAAAGCAAATTATTATTATTATTATAAATCACTTCGTATAGTTTGTTTAGAAAACCAAAACTTACCGTCCTTCGGGAAATTATTTGATTTTATCGTATTGATATTTGCTTCGATGTATTGGTCCTCAGAGTTATCCTATAAAATAGATGATGAATGTTTTTAGTATTTTGGTGTGCACTACTGAAAAATACTTGTAAGTAGCATAGTTTGTGTGATATTGTCTGCAAAGATGAGGAGTGACCATCGACGTGAAACAATAGAGAAAGTAGTTAGCATGAAGACAAACGAGGCAGAATATGAATAACTTTTGCAAACGGGGATTTGTTTTGCTATTTTTGAGCATGATTTCGCCACATAATCAGATTTGTTACCAGAAACCACTTTCTTTTGCTGTTGGACAGTGTAAGATAATTTTTTACTTCAGGCTGTACAGGTTCTTTTGATAAACTTGAAATAACCTACCTGATTCGTTTGTGAATAAACATACCTTTCGTACCTATAATATAACCTAAAAATGACTGACTGCTGCCTCCTGGTATCTCCTTGGGTTCTAAGTGGAGTACAGGGCTCCAAGTGTACATCTCAATTTCATTTTGTTCTCTGTCCTTCAAAACTGCCCATTTCTCCCGCACACGAACTCTTACATGTCACTCTAGACCTGATGACAAGCTTATATAGGTCCAAACCAAGTTCACTTTTAACAGTTTGAAAAAATCTGGCCATTGGGTGGTATATGATATTCATTATAACAAAGGTTTTCTTGTATTTCCCAATGAATGAAAATCAAAACGATATCATTGTTTTTACTGACGTTTCGCTATTTAATGCTAATAGCTTTATCAAAGTAGTATTATTAAACCGGAATTTACAAAATCCACTCAGCATATATATAACAAAGAGTTAAGAGGTGAGAAAATAGACTTAGATCAAGTTAAATTAAAAGGACACATTGAAAATCAAAATAACAATGAAGATCACTAAACCAAATAACAAAGGTAATAGTACATCTGTTATGGTATCAAAATAAAGTTTACTAACTTGATTATCGTTCGTCAGTTTGGGGGCATTTTTCGTTGTCAAGTTGGTCAATTGGTAAAGATAACAAAACCAAGTGCAGATTGTTGGATTTGATCAGTGTGTAAAATTATAAAAGCAGTGTGTGTTTACATAGTGAGCTTGCTTATCACATTCGTGTTGATTTTATCACTTCATGGGGGAGGGGGGTGTTGTAACCATGTTAAATTCTGTTTTAATCCGTCATTCCTATTCAGAAAATTTGGATTCAGCTTGATATGAAGTGCTTCTAATGATATTAGACGTCCTTTGTGATTTCTGAAGTTTTTCTGGATTATTTCAATATTGTTAAAATCAATTTTGTGGCCTGATTCTATGGCTGATGATTTTTCAAGTTTTTTTAGTTAAACCGGATTTCTCGGTGGTCGAAGAGATGCTCTACGATGTTCATTTCTTCTGATTTTGATTAATCTCTGGCGATGTTTGTACGATGTATATCGCATCACATTCCAAGCATTTTATTCTATAGACACAATTAGATAGAGAATCTTTAGGGATTTAGTCTTTTATATGGACAAAGTTGTTTCGTAGTGTGTCTGATGTCTTGAAGAAAACTCTAATGTCGAGCTGATTGAGTACTCTTCTGATATCATCTGACGTCTCTGCTCTATATGGAATGACGACTGTTGAGGTCCATGTTTTCGGAATGCGTTTTCAACCATACTTAATGTCTGTGTTGATTTTGTTGATGAAGTTCATTGGGTAGTTGTTTTGCTTGGGAGTCTCAGTAATGTTTGATATTTCTTCTTGTTTTTCTTTCTCGTCGGTTATCAGAGAGTGTGCTTGTCTAAGAAGACTTGAAGCAACTTAAATCTTTGAGCTGATGGGGTTTGATGATTTGAAGTCTAAATATTTATTGGAGTGGGTTTTTCTTCCTGAACATGGATAAACTAAACTGTCCGTTTTCTCTTCTCTTAACTAGGCAGTCTAAAAATGGTAGTTCGCCGATGTTTGATTTTATCACCTCTTAACTCTTTGTTATATATATGCTGAGTGGATTTTGTAAATTCCAAGAGAATAATACTTTGATAAAGCTATTAGCATTAAATAGCGAAACGTCAGTAAAAACAATGATATCGTTTTGTTTTTCATTCATTGGGAAATATAAAACCCGCATTATAATGATGAGAAACCCGTTGATACCAAATCGAGCTCCACTATAAAGGTTCTATCATGTGACTAAATTCATCTGTCTTCTCACTGTATAACCATTCCACGTCTATTTCCTACTGGACATTGGTTAATTCGTAAACGCAGTTCCCTGTTGCTTATCTTTTCTAGCTGACCGTCTTACCTTCTACATTAAGAAGTTAAAATATTCTTGTATAACCCAACCCTTATTATTATTATTATTGTTCCCTTGGGTTCCTAGTGGAACATAGGGCTTCAACTGCACGTCTCCACTTGCTTCTGTCTTCTGCTGTACTTTTCACTTGCATCTATGTTGTTCCATACTGTTTCAGTTCCTCTTCACACGATCTCCTCCATATCACCCTTGGACGTCCCACTCGCTGCTTCCCTTTCGGGTTCCACTCGAGCACTGGCCTGACGCGCGATGTCACCCAACGGCCTCCTCAGCGAGTGTCCAATCCATCTCCACTTTCTCCTGCATAATTGTTGAGCGATTGGTTCCTGATTTGTTTGTTCCCATAGCTTCTTGTTGGTGATTCTTTCCGGCCATCTGCTCTTCAGCAGTATAGAGGGAAGACAGTTGTTGATAAAGGTCTGCAACAGGCTGTTGGAAATGTTCTTGGTGACCCGCCAAGTTTCTGATCCGTATAGAAAAACTGACTGACTTGACGTTTGTATTGAAAATCCGAATTTTGTTGTTGATGCTGAGTGACGAAGATTTCCAGATTAGTTTCAGGTTGATGAATGTGTCTCTCGCCTTCCCGATTCTCGATTTCACATCCTCGTCCGTTCCTCCTGTAACCCAACCCTTACTCCTACAATTCGTTAATTCGCGCATCCTGCCTATTATTCTCTATTGTTCCCCCTTAGTTTTTCCCGGGCTACTGAAGAAAGACTATAACATATTACGCAGGATGTTAAAGGTTGTCAGCAGGGTAAACAATGTGCCACTTAACCAGCTTGTTAATATTCTGGTTGACAGGCAGGCACATGGACTCATGTGAAAAATGGGCCAAATCTATTTTATCTAACTCACACCACCCTCTTCACTCACAACTCTCCCCTTTCATCTCATCAGGCAAAATCAGAAGCCTCTATAGAAAACTATATGCTCGCACCAGCAAGTACAAAAACTCAACCATACCCTACTTAGCTCGTGTTCTGTGCGATAAAGAAAGCATTAGGTGTGACACCTATAACCTATTAAATAGTCAGTAGTACAACTGGATCTCGTCTTTCCAACTCATATCATTTATAGCTACAACATTTTCTTTCTTTCTTTTCCTCTTGTCTCTTTTTTTTCTTTTTTTTCGTTATGTGCTGCTTTGTTTCTTTCTTCCGCTTACGCCAGTAAATATGACAGCACCTACTTTTCTAACACCTTCAAACACTGTTCAACTTTGGCTTTGCTACCAACATGCCAATATGTCGTTGTCATAATGAATTGAGATTTCCTTAATCTATGTAGAATTTTATTTATTGTTAATGTACTAAGTGGATGCAATACTGTAGTTAAAAAAATGCTGAGAATTCCATTCTGTATCACAAGTACTGTTTTGGAATAAAGCAAATTATTATTATTATTAAAATAAAGAAAATGACTTGAACGGACTGATATGTTTCCATGACTTTTGCAACATAGAGATCACTGAATTAGTAACTAAGTCAAATGCTAGATATCTCGAGGGATTAACAGCTTTTACGAGTTTTACCTGGTCGTCTTACATCCTAATGATTTTTAAAGAAATATTTTAATCAATATTCTACTTAAGAAAGTTAAGACAATTTAGTATAGTTTTCTATAGTTGATTTGTGAGGATTAGTTTTGTTTTTTATTAGTTGATGGCGGATTGATAACAGTTACAGAACCACTGAAAACCGGGTTCGAACCGCTATGGTGTGTGCGTACTGCCGATGAGTCCCAAAAACTATGATTAAACTGCTGTCCAGTACTCCCAGGTGGTTTTCAATGGTTCTCTAACTGATATCAATCTGTGATCAACTCGTAAAAATTTGGTGTAACTCAGCATTTACTTGTGCACTTTGTTAACTATTGCATCTTGCTGTTCTACTTAACTATCTCCCGACATTCTTTCCTGGGCCGCTTAGGAATGAATTTGTTACATTACTGAGGATAATAAAATCTGTCCCTGTGATGAGTGGCACACCCATAAACCAACTAGTTAATGTAGTTGTTGGAATATCTTTGAACTATTGAAAGAAATTGGTAAAAGTCATTTTGTAGGACTTTCAGCACCCCCTATTTTGCTGTTTGCAACTTCTTCGTCGTGGCTACTTGAACTAGGGACAGGGAGAAATCAGAAAAGACTTGGCACTAGCACGATGGAGTATTATAAATCAGAGATATGCTATTTGATGCACATTTCATGTGGATAAAAAGAGTAACAGGCTCAAAATAACTGACTCACTTCCTAGAATTAATGTATCCTTGTCACTAATTCTATCTGCCTTATAAACATCATAAACTTTCCGCAATTGTCTCCCCCTATTTACTTAATGTGAGGTAATGCTGGTGGCTAAGGTATAGAATATTTTAACTGATTAAAAATGCCCATTAAAATTTTCAAAAGAATGGATACTGAACAGAGAGTGCTCTTTTCGATAACCTCTTCTTCATCAGGCTCTACAGTTATATATACATTATAGTAGTGAATGAATGAATGAATTCGTGTTATGAGGAACATTATTGCTGTTTAAATAACATCGAATCAATAATATTTTATCGGTAGATTTCAGTTCAATGGCATCAACATAACAATAAACTGAATGTCAGAAGAATAAGGAAAGATAATAATACAAATTCATGAATTTCTAGTCTCCACTGAAGGCCAGCCAAGTCAGAAGTAGTATATAGCTGGACTTGCTTCTTTTGAACACAAAACACTGGTTGTTTGAGGCGAATTGCAATAGCCTCTGCTGTTTGGAGCATGTGGTGCTTCGATGAATTGGGCAATTTATTAGGCACCCGATAGATGATAGAGAAGGAGTCTTCCACGCTGGCTAGCTTTGTGGCCGGCCGGTTTGCACCAGCTGATCCAATATCGAACTGTTAATGGTTTTTACTACACCTTACCTTAGCCATACTGGGAAATGTTCCCAAGTGAGAACGAAAAGTCAAGCTCCTAGAGCAATCGCCAATATAACTCGCTACTCTACAGGTCCAGTTCAATTGGTAGATACAAACTGAAATGGCTAGTCTAGGTTCTTCATCTTTCAGTCGAGGTAGCACCATCGGTTGTGTAGAGAATAATACGTGTAGTTCGCCAGCATTAAAAGTTCTTTGAACTGATTTTCTTAATTTCCTCGTAATTATTTCACTTGGTGAATCGCCCTTGAATCGCAGTCATATATAAAGTGGCTTCTTGTTTACAGACAGTGAGTAGTCCTTTTCCGCTTTCTTTGTCATGTGTTTCTTGATAAATTTGTCGGGATAGCTATTTTCGATCAAAGTATCATATACAATGCTTAATTCATCTTCAATTGCTTCTTCAGAGCATATATCTCTAACTCTGTGGATGACGGTCCTTCCTTACTAAATTTCTTTTGTACTTGATAGGAACGAAGCTGTGAAAATGTGTATATTGTCCTGCTGTCCAAGTACTTTTTCTATGCAAATTTCTTTTTACGCTACCATTTGGTTTTTTTGTAAGGAGGACTTCTAGGAAAGGCAATAATTCTATTTTGGGATTCCTCTTCACACATGGATTTCATAGCAGAATGTGCTTCATTGAATTGAGTTATTATTGTGTTCCTATCCGAATCATTATCACAGAGAATGAAGATGTCATCCATATAACGGCAATCAAAAATGAGAACTTTCTGATAAGGTTGTTCAAAGGCTCATTTTCTAGTTTACTTAGAAAGAAATCAGCCAGAATGGGACCCAATGGGGAGCCCATCGCCACCCCGTCCACTTGCCTGTAAAGCTTGCTGTCAAATTTGAAGTTTACATTCATGGTACATCTCAATAACAATTATTTTAGGATTTCAGTACGGATGTCAACACTTATCGAATGGTTATCCACTTGTTCACATATGTAGTTAACTGTTTTTATCAGAGGTACATTTGTGAATAACGATGTTATGTCCAGAGATATCATGGTTTTGTCCTTGATATTAATATCTATTACTTTGTCTACGAATTCAAATACATCTTTGACACTGTATTTCATTATCTTCTCATGCAAAGGTTTGAGAATATTTACTAACCGTCTAGCTAGAGCATGGTAGGGCGAATTTTGCATATCAAGTATCTGTCCTAACGGTACCCCTGGTTTATGCACTTTAGGTAGGAGACATACAATCTTGGCGTATACGTGCCCGTTGGTCTGATTTCTTCATATAAACTTTCAGAAAATATCTACTCCTCCCTTAGTTTCTTCGAACGTCAAGGATGCACTTTATCCGGTGTTCGATTCCCTCCGGACGCACACCTTAACCTCTGTTGGCCAGTAAGAAGCCGAGAAAAGAGGAAGAAAAAGTTTGAGCGGGAGGATAACAACTTCACCCTGTAAAATAAACACATACTACTGACAGTTCAAAGCTTTAAGCTTTATATTCCACGTGGAGCTCAAAGGAATGTAAAAATGTAATATGAAAAGAACGTTAGAAACAATACTGTTTTTATACTGAGATTACTGTCTAGAACAAAGTCCTCAAGAGTTACTTTGTAAGGATTTGATTTCTTTCAGGTCTGAACATTGGTTGATATCAGTTAGAGAACCACAAGAAACCAGGGAGTATTGGACAGTTGTTTTATCCTTGTTCGGGAGTTATCGGCAGTACGCACTCATCAGGTTTCGAACCCGGGAGCTTCAGGTTACGAAGTAAGCTCGTAGAGTCAGGCCTCACCAGTTGAATGGTCTACGAGCTTGACCTGTAACTGGAACATCTCGGGTCTGGACCCCGATGGGTGAGTACTGCCAACGAGTCCAAAAACTAGTCAGACGAAAAATCTGTCCAATGCTCCCTGGTATCCAGTAGTTCTTTAACGGATATTAATAATTGTTATAAAATGAAGTAATCTCAGATTCTGTTTGAAAGCTGAGCATGTTTTTATGATGCAACCTTAATAAATTTTCACTCCATCTAGAAATGTTTTAAAAATGGCTAAGGTGATTCATGTGTTTTTAAATAATACCTAAGCATTGTCACTGATCTAAAGAAAATTGGTTATCAGAACCATTCAAATCTAAACATGCCATTGATCTATTGGTTGGGTGGTCCACTAGCATAGTTTCATAACTTGAAGGTCCCAGATTCGATGCCTGGTCGTTGGTATGCACTGTGAAGAGTCCCAAAACGGGATGAAACTTCTGCCCGGTACTCCCTGGTTAATTAGCATCTCCGTAGTTCAGGCTATTAGAGCAAATGTCCTGAGCATGACCCCTTCCGCAGCCAGTGACTTCTGAGCCACCATATATCGGTGGTCAGACAGCCGGTCTTGTATACCAGGGCTCGAGAGTTAAATCCTCTATTTGGCAAAGTATTCTGTTCTTACGAGTTGATCACGGATTGATATCAGTTAGAGAACCATTGAAAACCAGCACTGGAGTACTGGACAGCTGCTGTTTCATCCTAGTTTGGGAATCATCGGCAGTACACACCCACTAAGATTCGAACACAGGACCTTCCGGTTACAAGGCAAGCAACCTCGTATACCATTCAGCCACTGGGACCCGATCCCTCAATGGCCAGCTCATGAATTCTAACTTCTACCAATTCGTGATTTAGCGTGACCCCAACCATTGTCGTTGGTGGGACATCCATCCACACACATGACATCTAATTGGACCTCAATGGTCACGACTTCTCACTAGAACTCCAGGAAGCTCTATCCTGTAGCAAGTCACTAGCGAGCATCAGATTAATTTTCTGTAGTAACCGGAAGGTCCTGAGTTCGAATCCTAGTGGGTACGTTCTGCCGATGATTCCCAAACTAGGATGAAACAGCAGCTGTGCAGTACTCCAGTGCTGGTTTTCAATGGTTCTCTAACTGATATCAGTCCGTGATCAACTCATAAAACATAACTAATCCTTACAAACCAAACTATAGAAAGTATTATGTGCCTTGAAGATTCGTTGGTGGGACACTCCTCAACAGCAAACGTAGTCTGGGGTTCCGCTACCTGCCGAAACTACTCCTAAACTGCCGTTAGCCGGCTGCAAGCCTGATTAGTAGAAAAAATTGAAGTTATCTAAAACACTACTTCACATAATACTTTGTCACAAACAAATTTCAGTTAGAGAGTCACTAAAAACCAGGGAAAAGCGGATAGTTGTTTTTGTCCTAGCCAGAAACTCTTTGGCATTGGGCACAAATGATTCTACTGGGAATAAAATCCAGAACATTCAGGTGAGGAAATCATCCCTCTAAGCAATCAGCTACTGGGTGTGAATTCAATAACACCTGAATTCTAAATTCTCCCAACCATCTAGTCTTCCATGACTTTTCAACTGATGTCAGTTAACGAAATCTGTGGTGTGGATATCAGTCTCCAGGTGAGTGACGGTTATCGAAGGAATGTCCTGAAGTTCCAATGAGAAGTTTCGGGTGTTGAGACCCTCCATCTCAGGTTTGAAGTGATGGTTGTCAGTGTGTCACAACGCCACTAACTGAGAGAAATAAGAGTTAACGGATCGCTGAATTTCATGCAGGCGGCTGAATGATCACTGGACTGTAATTGATTTCACCTCTTGAAGGGATCTGAGTCGGAATTAATGAAATACTACTACTCACCTGACATAATTCTTTAGAAAACTTGAATTGAGTTTGTTCGACACCGTGGAAATTTTCTATTGCATCGGTTAATTTAAATTTAGCTTGACCAAACTGTTTATTATTTAAGCAAGACCATAGGCGTTTATCCACCAGACTAATCAATAATTCATCGCATACACCCGTTGTCATAGTGAATTTAGTTATTGATTTATTTGAATCATTTACTGATGAATTCAACTTCAGTGTACACATTCTATGAGATGTTGAATAGGCAGGATTGATTTCTTCCGGTTGACTTGAAGTAGTATTAATGCGTAGTGTGAATTTTTCTAATTCTGGGATCGGTGTGATTGTTATTTGTTGGATCTTGGAGAGAAAAGACAGAAAAATAAAGATATATCAGGAATGATGTTTGATAATTACGGCAGTATTATTACCGTTCATAATATAACATCACACTTTATTTAGGAAAACTTAAATTTTATATGAAGAACGGCGACCTACAGACACTTTTCTGAAGGCCTTAACAAGACACTGTGATATTAAAGCTCCTAGGCAATACCGGACTGTTATGGATAGAGTGGGGGTACGGAAAACGTCTGGATAAGCAGGAGACTTTTTGGATGGCTGACTGATGATGCCAAGGAAATATGAGGTTGTCAAGTGCGTGAACAATGGCAGTCTAGCTGCCGTTCTGAGAAAGTCCAACGGTGTTGCGTAATCTGATATTGATGTCCCGTGACCTGTTAAACAGAAGTACCTCCCAACCACTTGAGCAGATCGACAAATTAAACACAAATACACACGGGGCTCAGATGAGTAAAACTAAATTATTTTGTTTAATTGGCTCCACACGATTGCCCCTGCAACCGACAAAGCTTCTTTCTAATTGAGTTTGTGGGTTTACATGCCAGCCACTTTATTGCTATCTGCATTACCAAGAATTCTGCGTAAGGTTTCCAAAGTTCCTTCTTTGTATGGAAGTACTACTGGTGATTTGAGTTCCCTATTGTTGATGTCGTCATTATTCTGTGCATGTTTGACATGCATGTTATCATTAATATTATTATTATCATTATTATCACTATCACTACTATTATTATTTAGTTTATTTTTAGATTTTCCTACATACTTCGTGACTAATACATCAGAGTAACTGTTAAGTGTGCCTCATTTCCTGTCTTAGATTTTCCTTGGTACTACTTGGTTTTTGTGCTCTATTACCTAAACATTTCACCAGTCCTTCTTTTACCGTCATAAGATGGGATGATCGGAAGTCCAAATATCCGTTTGAATGTGCGGGCTTCCTGTTAACATACACACTAGTGTTTAAATTCCTATCTTATTTCCTTTTTACACTGCAATCTAATATTGGAAGCTCCCTTTCCTGACTTTCCAGTTTGTAAGTGAATTGAATTGCCTCCACCTATGAGTTAATGTTTTCGAAAAATCTATTTATATTCTGTGTTCTAAGTACAGTGAATATGTCTTCTACATACCTCCACCATACTTTTGGAGTGGGGCTGATATTATGTTTCGTTTTTGAGGAGCTGATAACAGTAATTTTGTTTTCAATTCCTTGAGTTTTGAGTGTAACATAAGGCTTCAGACTTTGAAATTTCAGTAGCAGTGGTGTTGTCCATACGGTGAAAGATCGATAACCTCGCCCCCAACCTTTACATTTTAGCCGGATTTACTGCCAGCTATTAAGCCACGGAGTGCGTCTGTAATTCAACTGTAGAGTACTGAACAGCTATGTACGTGGTCCGGGGTTCGAGTCCCTGACGGCGCAAACCTTTACCTTCATTAGCCAGTTCTAATCCCTACAAAGGGAGAAGGGTGGGCATGAGGTTAGCAGCCCCAACCCGTAAAAACCATCACCGCTGCTAAAACTTCAAAACTGTAGCTTGAAGCCCTATTTTCCACTCGGAACACAAAGGAAAAAAATAAATATTAATTAAATTAAGCAAACTAGGGGAGGTTTAGGCATGAATCGATAGGAATCACATCCGAACAAAGTGAGCAACAGGAGAGCACTCTACCAGTGAACCGCTGATTCCGTTGTAACGACAGAAGACAAGAGTCAGGCAACAGATCATTTATTAAGGAAATCAACGCATATTTATATATTTCATGTACATTACTATGGATATTTAAACAAACAAACACAGTCTTCCGATTGGTTGTTTCTCACTTAAAGTTAATCTTTCATCTATTTGTGACTGTTTCTTGAATGTCAAATCCTCTATATGTTAACTGCATCCGCCTACGCAAAGTTTGCTGTGGTCGGTTTTGAATCAATCTTTGTTCACATTTTCTCACGACAAATCTTGGGAACGTAAATATTGACGTAAATTACTGTCTACCAATTTGGCTAGTAGACAGCTCTCACCACACCGTCAGTCTCTCAATCAGGAATTGAAACTGGACCTTCCGTGTGACAGGTGGAAATTTTCACCAGTATTTTATCAATCAGCCTATGGTACCTCTAAATTAGGAGGCGATTCAGAAATAGTAAAACCCACAGCAAGCGTATTATCGTTCAATCATTGAGGCCAGATTTAGTTACTTGTTTTACTGTCTCATTTCTACACGATCGATAGTGATTCCTCGACTCGATTGAAAGATGAAGTACCTAGACTAGCTACTTCTAATTGTATCTACCAACTGAACTGCGCTTGTGGTGAAGCGAATGATATTGACTATTGCTTTAGGAACTTAATTTTTCGTGCTCACTCGAGAACATCTCCCAGTATAGCTAAGAAAAGGTGCAGTAAAAACCATCGACAGTTTGATGGTTCATCACTGAAGAATCCTTCTCTATCATCTACCGGGTACCAAATAAATTGCCAAAAACATCCAGCTACCGCATACACCAACCAGGAGAGGCTATCGCGATTCACGTGAAACGACCAATACTTTGTGTGCAAAAGAAGCAAGTCCAGCCAGTGATTCTGCCCTGGCCTTTAGTGGAGACTACAAATTCATGAATTTGTATTATTGTTATCTTTCCAAATTTCTCTGATTTTCAGTGTGTATTGTTATGTTGATGCTATCGAACTGTAATCCATTGATTTTATTATCATTATTGATTCGATTTTATTTAAACAACACTAATGTTGTAAGTAACACTAATTCATTCACTATTATGCATGTATGGATAAGTGTAGAACCTGGTGAAGAAGGTGTTATCGAAAAAACATCCTTTGTTCAGTAACCATTATTTTAAAAAGTTTTTAATGGGCAGTTTTAACCGTTAAGTTTAGCTGAAAATTTTACCGATTTCTCACTTTTTTGAACAGTCATCAAACTAACACAGAATAACAATCGCCTGGCCTTTGTTTCTAGTAATTCAATAATTTATGTCCCTCTATTAAATGCTTTAAGATATACCAACTTGAATAAATATTTTTGTTTATCTAAATCAAAAAAAAAGATGAGTCATCCTGTTGCCCTCTCGTATGTTTAGTCTAGTCTATATTTATTTTCAATAGAGGTATGCATGCAAGTAGCTAATGTCTGTTGGAGACAATGGTTTTCAATGGTTCTCTAACTGATATCAATCCATGGTCATAGTCGAAAAAGACATCGCTAATCCTTACATATCAACTGTTGAAAATTAATCCAATATTCGCTAGTAACTGGATACAGGATGGAGTTTTTTTGAGTTCTAGTGAGAAGTTGTGACCATTGAGCCCCATCTAGGTGGGAGTGAGGATGAATTTCCCGCCGATGACATTGGTTGTTGTCAGTCGCGCTGAAAACATCACGATTTGGTAGAAGTTAGAATTCATGGGCTGGTTATTGAAGGGTGAGGTCCCAGTGGCTGAATGGTATGTGAGCTAGCTTGCCTTCTAATCGGCGCTAAATCCTGGGTTCTAACTCCATATTAGTTTGTATATTAGATGTATCACATAGCTGAGTGACAGTATTATTTACTGGATGACGTTTCGAATAAAATGCATTGTTCATAATCATTTCATCAATTATAATCACACGGCTTCGAAACTTGAGTTTTATAGTTTTCTTTGTCCTCTCCTATTTCTCGTCGTTGGGGTGGTAGAATTCTACAGATATCCTACTGAACAGGTGTCGAATCATTCCTATTACACGTATTCTCTTCAGTTGATTCGATAAACAATGCTTCTGTTATCAATAACTCCCTCCACCCTGTCAGTTGTATTAGATCCCAAAATTGTCATCTTATCCCATCCCATCCTATGCTGTATGGTTGTGTGTGATTGCATGTGGTGTAGTGCTATAGCTGAACTATTCTCTAGATTTCTTATCTTATTATTGGGGTCAACTAATCTAGATTTTGCTAGGTACTGTACTTAGAACACAAGACATAGATAGATTTTTCGAACACATTAACTCAAAGGTGGAGGCAATTCAATTCACTTATGAATTGGCAAGTAAGGAAAGGGGACTTCCAAAGTAAGATTGCAATCTAAAAGGAAGGAAGATAGGAAGTTAAACACACTAGTGTTTACACGAAACCCACACATTCAGACACATATCATTCCTATCCAGGCAATTTGGATTCCACTTGATATGAAGTGCTTCTGATATTAGACGTTCTTTATGATTTCTGAAGTTTTTCTGGATTATTTCAATATTGTCAAAATCAATCTTGTGACCTGATTCTATAGCATGTAGACTTGAAATATCATCAGCCATAGGTCTACATGCTATAGAATCAGGTCACAAAATTGATTTTGACAATATTGAAATAATCCAGAAAAACTTCGGAAATCACAAAGAACGTCTAATATCATCAGAAGCACTTCATATCAAGTGGAATCCAAATTGTCTGAATAGGAATGATGGACTAAAACGGAATCTGACCTGGTTGCACCAGCACCCCTCCCCCATGAAATGACAAAATCAACAGGAATGTAATATGCAAGTTCACTATGTAAACACACACTACTTTTATAATTTTACACACCGATCAAATCCAACAATCTACACTTGATTTTGTTATCTTTACCAAATGCCCCCAGACTGACGAACGATGATCAAGTTAGTAAACTTTATTTTGATACCATAACAGATGTCCTATTACCTTTGTTATTTGGTTTGTGATCTTCATTGTTATTTTGACTTTCAATATGTCCTTTTAACTTGACCTAAGTCTATTTTCTCACCCCTTAACTCTTTGTCATATTTATATGCTGAGATTTTGTAAATTCCGGTTTAATAATACTTTGATGAAGCTATTAGCATTAAATAGCGAAACGTCAGTAAAAACAATATCGTTTTGTTTTTCATTCATTCACTGGGAAATACAAAAACCTTTATTATAATGAAATATTGTTGTTTATTCATGAGATACTCTCTTTTTTAAGTGAAATCATTCAGTT